CTCCCTCTCCCTCTTTCTTTCTTTCTTTCTTAAAGTCAGCATAGACAAATGCATTTGCTGTCCTCAATTGAGGATTCATGGACAAATTTGCTCATACACCTAGGGAAAAACTGCATGCTGTTTTTGGTTGGGTTTAGTCTTGTAAAGAAAAAAAATATGGAAAAAGGAACCATAATTACAATTTTGTTTCAGTGAAACAGTGGCAATTATAGTGTATCAGAGCACCGTTTTATTGGAGGGGAATGTCACCTTACTCATCAAGATTCAAATTGGTGGGTTGCATAACATAAAAGGTCATGAAAAGCCAACACATAAAATAAGATTAAAATAAATATATCCTATTCTTGTTTTAACAAATTTCATTTTAGAAAAGATAAATGTTGGTATTTGTAACATTATATTTTCTCTTAAAATACAGATACAACAAAACCACAATTCCTTGGTGTACCAGGAATGTGTACAGGTACTATCCTGGGAGCTGGGAGCATAGGAACCAAAATTGCAAATGAAGTTTTAGATCTGCAAAGGTAGTAACTCTTCAGTTTTGGCTATCAATTTCATGCAGACTGATTTTTTTTAAGAAAAGGAAATGGAGGATATGTTGTTCTCTCTGAGCTTTTAGAAAAATGCAACAATCATAAATATAAAAAGATGCCTCAATGCTTCTTCCTTAGTTTTCCTTTCCTCATTGCTTTACCTCTCGTTCCAGTTTTTACACACAAGAGCATTTTTCTGAGACATTTCTCGTGCTCATAAAAGGAATAGCAGTTATCAAAACAGTGAACAGATACAGATTGACCCAGTGTTGCAAAAGGGGAAAATCTGCTCCCCCCTGCATTGAAAGAACATGAGAAAATGGACAAGAGTTCGCTGCCTTAGGTTGCCTATATAATGGAATCTCATTTGAAAGAAGAGTACTTGCTGGAATTGTGTTGTAACCTTAACCTTCCTTCCAGTATTAATCTGAGCAATTTGATCCAAGTCCCCTATCCCAGGGACATGAATCTAATTGCTCAGATCAATAGCACTATCTGATTTAGTTGACAGTAACATACTGTCGGACTTGAATTTAATGCAGTATTGAGTTCTTGTCTAGAGGGTCATTTCAGGGTTTGGTCTGGAGAGTGCAACTGGTAAAGAATCTGGCAGCCAGGATGACAAAATTAAAGCAATTGCCAAGTTCAGAGTGCTGCTGTTGGCATTAAAAAACCTAAACAACTTTTGGCTAGGTTACCTGGTAGATTATCTCCCCCACTTTTGTTCCTAAGATCAATAGACGAGGTCCTGCTATTCATGATGCTTTCTGTGCATTGACCTCCAGCTGTAACTGGAAGTCTGATCTTCACTGTATTGTATTGTTTCCCTGTCTGGAATGATGTTCCATGTGCAGAATTTGAAGTGATTTAGATGGTTCATGTAGATCTTGTGTGTTATCTATGGATAAATTTAAAATAATGAATAGAGTATGTTTAAGTGACTGTATTCCTCTTGCTTTTAACATGAGCTGTATTAATGAAAAGCATTATCAATGACCAGACTTTAACAACACTTTGTGATGAGGATTAAACAGTATATTTTGCTTTATCTAGATTACATGCATCTCCTCTTGGTGAGTTAAGCCCATCTGATCTTATGAGGAAGTCTTCTCCTGTCCTAGCTGTAAACTGTGGTAATGTGAGTATCCATAAGCTACTTGCCACCAGAAGATCTAGACTTCAGAACTGGATCTGATGTAATGTACAAGCGTGAAGTGTATCTGTGCATTGAGTGAGGACCAAGCTAGGTACCTGACTCCATCTCTGCTATGATATAGGGCCTGGTTACTGGAGGAACTGCCTTTCTCCGTATCTGCCCAACCACTTCTATCTTGCAGAGTTGGCACACTTCTGGTTCCTTTGATTAAATAGTGTCATCTGTTGGGACCCTAGAAGCATGCCTTCTCTGTAGCAGTGCCAGCCCTCTGGAATGAGGTTCCCCTGAGATCCGGGTGGCCCCCAGTCTGCTGCTGTTCAAAAGAGTGGTGAAGACCTGGCTCTTCACACAGGCCTTTGGTGACAGAGAGTGAGACCCCTGGCTTCATTCCGTCTGGTCTGTCACACTTGCCATCTTTTATCTTTCATTGATTTTATTGTAATTTCTTTACTTGATTGTTGTGACCTGCCCAGAGTCATTGGAAGTTGGGTGGCATACAAGTTTAATAGATGATGATGATGATGATGGCATGGTCATTGATGAAGAATACCCACATGATCAGATACATATTCTGCGGTTGAAGAAGATACTGGTGCAGTGGCAGCCTTGGTTGCATTTTATGATCAGCATATAGATATAAAAAGGTTTCTAAAATGGAAAAATACTATTTTGTCCTGACTTTTTTTTCTTGGACCTTGTCATCTATCTTCATTTACAGTGGTATATGAATATAGGAGACAGGTAGAGCAGATGGGTACCACTATTTGCTCTAGAGAAGGAACCCCTTCAATTTTATAATGCATGAGGAGCTGAAAAGGTACAAGATTCCTTGAATCTGGATTGGCTTCTAGTTAGGGATGTGTCCATGTGGTTTTCATTTCATTTTCATCACGTGAATGGCTCGGTCAAGGTAATTAGAAGCAGAAAAAAGACAAAATTGATTGGTAAACAGGTTCCTGTATTCCCATATTTAACAGGGCACATCTCTGTGTGTTTTCTCTAAAGTAAGCATTGTAGTGACCATTTGTGACCTTCCCAGCCAGCTTCCAGCAAGCAAAATCAATGGGGAACTGCATGATTCGCTTAATGACCATGTGATTCGCTTAATATCCATGTTTTTCACTTATCGACTGCAGTGTTTCACTTAACGACTGCTGCAAATATGTCATAAAATTGGGTGCAGTCACATGATGCCTCGCTTAATGACCACCCTGCTTAACAATGAATTTCTTGTCCCTATTGTGGTGGTTAAGCAAGGACTACCTCTGTGTGTGTGTGTGGGTCCATGTGTACGTACATACGTATGTGTGTGTGTGTATACACACATACACACAAATATATATATATATATATATACACATATATATATTTGAATTGAGGTTTTGAAATCCCAATTAGCATGAAGCTCATATAGGCAACTTGGACAATTAAAGGTACCCTTATTTGTAATTGAGTTATCCCCTTTGACTCATTTTTCAGTAGCAGTATATACTGATTCCATTGATTTTTTTTAATGTCATTTCAGGTGCCAAATAAAGAATTTACAGAACTATGTCCTTCAGGGATAGAAGATTTAGAAACTTCAGAGCAAAATCAAGATGTGATTTCATTCTCTAACAATGAGCCCCTTCTCAGTAAGTTTCTTTCTTCCTAACGTCTTTACTGAAAATTTATAACTTCTTCAGAAATACTTGTGGTAAATGAATACTTTGAATCTACGTCCAGCTGAGAGCTCCAGCTGAGAAAACATCTGCATAACATATGACTAAAGCCTGACCCACTGATGGAATAGAAAAAGAAACTCAGAACTGGGAAAGTATGTCAGAGCCAAAAGGATCAGAGTTTACTTGTACTTCTCTTCATTCACCTTATAATGATAGCAGAAACAGAGCTTTTAAATTAGTTTTTTTTTCAACCTTGGCAACTTGAAGATGTGTGGACTTAAACTCCCAGAATTCCCTAGCCAGTATGCTGGCTGGGGAATTCTGGGGGTTGAAGTCTACACATCTTAAAGTTGCTAAGTTTGAAAAACACGGATTGAAATGAACAGTAAGATTTTGCCACTCTTACTAAGAGTAAAGCTTTGGTATCTGGTCACAGCGTTTCCATTTAAATATGCAGATTGGCTGGCAAATGGCTTGTACTGAATATCAGTTTGGAAACAAGTCTTTTTTCATAGGTTGCAATCTTTACATTTTAAAAATTTCTCGTAAAAATAGCCTCTGCATGTTGCTGTGATGACAGTTAGTTATTCATACTTCCTTGCTAGTGCATGCTTTGATTAAGATCTTGCAGTGATCAAAACAAAATTCTAAACCCATCAATGTACATAAAGTGATTTTTTTTTAATCCATTCAATTGTGTCTGATTCTCGGAGACTGCCTGGACAAGTCATATATGTTAGGCAGTCTACAAATAATGCCAAAATAGTATTTTATCTAAGAAAAAACATGAACATTGTCAGCTTTAATATTTTCAAAATTGGAGGAAGTAAACATTTCAGTGGTGAAGGAAAGTGAGCATTTTTGATCTTTTGAAGAGGCTGATGAGAACAATTAGACTGCTCAGAGATTCTGTGGGACATCCTGTCTATGCAAAGCTTAGTTTATCAAATATTTTTTCCATTGTTGACATTCCAGCCTTATTTGTCTTAAAACTCCTATCAAAAAAAGCTCTTGTGAGGGAATGCTGGAAGGAGTATTTTAGAGATTTTGTATGGAAATGGTAGTGATATGTTTGAAAAGTAGAATCAAAACAAATGCTATAAATGTTATTGACCTTGAATGATGTGATGAAAAATGAAAGTTATAAATGCAAGAGTGGGAATGATGTAAAATGGTACAGCTGCATGCCAGAAAGCTGCATGCCATAGACATCCATGGCAACAGTAGTTGAAAGCTGTAGCCATGAGGGCCTTTCTCCAGCAGCTGTTCCTGAAGCAGAAGACACTGGCAATGGTCATTCACACCCTTGTCAACTCATGGGTGGACTATTCTAGTATATTCTGCATTGGATTGCCCCTGAAGATGAGATGAAAAGGGTAATTAGTGCAAATGCAATGGAATGAATGTTAATGGGGACAACCCAATTTTGTCCTGTAACACCAATTCTGCAGGAATTATATGGGTAACTGGCATGTTTCAAGATGCAAGATAAAGTGCTGGTTTGCTTGCAATCTGGTTACCTGCAACACTGCTTAGACCAAATAGAATCTGCCCACGCAAGGTGTACCTGTTGAGTGTACTTGCTGAAAATCCCCCCACCCCCAAAGTGTTACAAGAGGGAAGCCTTTTCTGCAGGAGCTTCCCTCTTGATCAAGTGATTTGCAGCAAATAATAACAGATAGATCATATGATGCCATAAGGAGCATGGAGCTGAAAATGAGTATATTAAAGATCCAGGGGGTTCTGCCTGATGGGGGAAATGGAGTAAGTGACTGCAAGTTATACTATGTGGAAAAAATGTGGAAAAAAAACCCTACAGTAAATTGACCAGTCCATGTATCAGGATAGAAATTTTAAGATACGTGAATTCTGGAAGAAAGGTAATAGGTAATATGCGGTCTACACTGTGTGTCAAATTGTGTAAATATGGCTGTGTGTGATTCTTTTCACTTTGTTTAAATGAAAGTAAAAGTTGGATATGTCAGGAGAAACCAAAGTAAGCTAAATACAGGGGAAGTGAGTATTTAAGAAACACGAAAAACAGCAAGAGACATGGTCAAGAATGAATGGGTCCTGAATGAACACAGACTGTGTTGACCTGTGTGAAAGAGAGATATTGAGGTGGTTTGGTCATGTAGAGATACTGAATGAGGATCAAACTAAAAAACGAATACATGAAGGAAGAGGGAATGGATCAAGAGGAAGGGGAAGGCTGAGAAAAGTTGTGGTTGGATGGAGTTGCTGAGATCCTCACAAAGGAAGAGGTGGGACATTTATGAAACAGAAGGTAATGTGTGTATGAAGCAGCATATGGATGTGATGGAAGCAAGGATGATATGTGAGGACAGAAATATATGGAGAGACAGGGAATGGTGTTGGTGTGAACTAGTTTTAGATATATTTCCTTTTCTCTCTTTAATTCTCTTTAATTTCTTTGGCTTATTATTTCTTCCTCCTTTTCTTTGCTTTGCAGAATATTGCTTGCCCTTAACAGAACAGTGTGATGATGAGGTTGTAGATATGTATCCTTGCAAGGCAAAAAAGGGAAGGAATGTTTCAGGATAAACTGTGAATTGTGGAGAATTGTTTCCCATTAAAATTTTTCTGTGGGCCATAAATTAATGCATTTATTTACTTTTTCCCCCCAGGTGGCACTTCTCAATTAGATTTTGAAAAAGACACTGCCATGGCTGCTCTTATGAATTATTTGGAAGCTGAAGGAGGCCTTGCTGATCCCACCGAGCTAAGTGACATGCAGTGGACTCTTTAGTTTTATACCAGTGGGAAGAAGATAAACATTTTTGATGCACAAAAAATAATCACTCATCCTCAAGTACTGTATTGGTATATTTTAAGGCTTTAATTTCTATTTACAATAACAATATTTACAGTATTAATATTTTTGAAAGACTTTTGCCTTATTTGTAAAGAAATGGCTTTGGCTCCTATGCTGAAGAGATGCAATATTTTTTAAAGATACAGAACCTCAGTTTTATTATTGATGCATAAGTAGACTTTAAACATGCTTTAAACATGGGTATATTTTTACTGAAATCTTTTAAGGGACATTACTGTAAGCAAGAAGCATAGAGATTCTGTTCTGAAATATCTCTGAGGTATTATTTATTTGTGGGTTTTGTTGATTAGATTTCTAATGTTCCTTCAGGAAAATTCTGTGCTTGAGTAAGCTTAGATACTATGTCAGTTCCCATAATAGCTGTAGTCTCTATGCCATGCTGTCTTTCTGTCTGTGAAACCTGTGATCAAGGAACTGGTATGGAATGGTTGTTAAATCAATTCATTATGCTTATCAGAAAAAAATACTTTATTATCTCAGTACAAAATTGCTGCAGGAACACCTGAAAGAACTAATAAATAAGATATCTAATTTGGAGGGGAATGATATATTGTAGGGCTGTGCGGGGCTTTGAAGTACAAATGTAGTTGTCTGCAATTCTTTAAAGCAGCCACATCTTTAAAAACACAGCTGCTCTAAAAAGTTGCAGACGGGCTACGTTCATACTGCTGCATGCTCTGAAAGATGTTTTTGGAATCCAATCAGAAGTGAAGAATAGCCCTGTTTTTATGAAGCACAAGCTAAAAGTTATGATTCATATTGAAAGAATATATATGTGACTGTGTATGTTCTATTAACTATTTATTACAGCATGATGATTGTTTTAAGGAAAAAGAAATGCAAATGTTGACATGGAACTTGGACCACTGAGATGTAGGATCATGGAATGAAAAAAGCCAGAATTAAAAAGTGGGATACTTTTTGACAGTTTAGTTAGGAGAGTCTTAAGGTATAAATTATGGGAGTGCACAGAAGAGAAAATGTGTTTTGTTTTCTATATGAAACAAAGACATTGTGAGTTGGAAATACAGCCAAACTGTTCTGAGCAGGTCTTGGTGGTTCAGAATTTCAGTACTCTGGGATAAGTACCTCCATTTCCATCCACTAGTGGGGCCCTTGCCTTGCTCCCATTTTTCCCATCCAACATATATTTCTGCCAAATACATGTGTTTTTTGTCTGTGTCCAGCCCAGACCCGTTAGTTTGGGCTTTGTGCCCAAACCAACATTTGTTTTGATCTGGGCACAGACTGCCAACAACGGGCTCTTCTGTGCATAGAACATTTTGCACATCCTTACTTCATGTATTAAATTGCACATGCTGAATTGGAGTGGCTCAGTTCTTGAATGTAGGGGTTTTTTTCCAAGTTGCAATATGGACTTTATATCTGTTAAGAGGGGCAATATTTATTAGAAATGTTGAAGAAAATTGTGAAAAAATTATGGTGATTAAACATACTACTTTTACGATGTAATTCTGTCTGTATTGACCAAAAAGTTCCACTGAGTTCAATGAGATTAAGTAATAGATAATTAGCTCTAGGATTACAGCCATGGAGTTCTGATCTAGACTTTCTAGAATGTCCTTCTACAATAAATGAAATGCATTTTCTGTCTCTTGTGTTTGATCACCTGAAAAATATGCTTTTATTAAGTAACATACTAGTGCATTTTGTCATATAAGCACCAACATCTTTTATATTGGCTAAAAATACAAGCTAGACTTTGGGAATTCTTAAGAATGTGTGGATTCGGTTTCTTAGAGCAGTCAATTTCTTAAACATGACCTTGCAAGTAAAACCTATCTACAAATGTCAATTTTTAAAAGTATTAATTACTACTTTATGGAAGACGTTCTTGGAATATAACATTAACGATCAGTAGGTTCATTAAAACTGGTATTAGACTTAAATTATGGTAGGTTTCATGTGAAAGTATGTACACAAAGCTGTCTTTGTATAGTATAAAATTGTTATATACATCGTAATATGTCCATAACCTAGCTATTGAGAACGTGTGTGTCTGTTAAATGGTTGAGCCATTTTTGTTTCTTGTATTTGCAGTTTTTAAAACCATGTTTGCTTTTTCCACATTGTTGATATTGCTGCAAATATATGTGTGTATAGCTGTAAGGTGGGAAGCATCCCCAAGAGCATTTGTTCCTACAGTAATTGTACAGAACAAGCCTTCACCAAGATCTAGATCTGATTTGGGTGTGCAAATAACAGTTGCCAGTTGCCAGGATCACTTTAAAGCAAAGGTATCTTTTGGAACTGCATGTCAGCTGCAGTGGGCAGCCACTCAGGTCATTGAAAAGACACAGCTGCTTTAAAAGGTACCCAACAGGTATTACTTTCACACCCCTGCAAATGCTAAATCACATTTCACCTTTCAAAGCTGGACCTCTACAGAACTCTAATAGGGAAAAAAGGAAGCTAAATAATTACTTTAAACAGCCACTAGATGTCTAGTTACTTCTGTTCTACAGCAAAATGTAGATTGTCTTGCAACAGTTGTATGGCAGAGCATGTATTATAGTATATGGGCAATTACAGTACAGAAATGCCAAAGTATAAGTTATGAATCGTTGGAGAACGTTCAGGAGAACCTATTTTTTCCATTGTTTTTTGCTTTTCCCTTTTTAAACAGAATACTGCATGTATCAAACATACTATAAAAACTGCATGTATCAAATCTTGTTGACACAATAAGGATGACTGTAGCTCATAATCATTGAGGAAGTAAGGCCTATAAGAAGTGTTTACCTTCTTAAGGCATGTTATCACTTCTGTCACCCATTTTCCAAGGAAAATAAAATAAAATAAAATAAAATAAAAACAGGAGCAAAGTACTGATTCAGGAAGGAAATATGTTACAATGAATTTTTGCCCATCATTGTCTGAGGTAATTGGTTACCAGTGGGGATATCCACTGGGCGGTCAAAAAAAGTCAAGATAATGCCCTGCACCATGGAAGTGTCTTGACTCTGATCCTCTGGCGAGGCTGCCAAATCAGAATTGTATACAAATGATCATAGACTGAGCCCTCTCTGTGTGTGCCTTTGAGTCATTGTTGACGCCTGGTGACTGCCTGGAGAAGTCCCTGCAGTTTTCTTGGCAAGATTTTTTGGAAGTGGTTTGCCATTGCCTCCTTCCTAGGGCTGAGAGAGAGTGACTGGCCCAAGGTCACCCACCCAGCTGGCTTCATACCTAGACCATGGTCTCCTGGTTTCTAGCCTGGTGCCTTAACCACTACACCAAACTGGTTCTCAAGTCAACTAAGCTGCAGTCATAATCAATTCAATGGGTTTGCTTTGTTCTCTTAATATTTAGTTAGATAACAAAACTTGAAATGGGAAGATGTGATTTTATAATAGGTTAATATGGAAACGCCTATTAATGGGTCTCTTCCTGCCCTACTGACCTGAATATTTATTGGCTTCAGGTGTATCAAATGTTTAACAGACGGGTCATAAGAGGAACCCTAATGCACATTAGAAATGTGTCCACTCTGAAAGACTATGTGGAGTCTATAAACTTTTTGTTGTTCCAGCTTACTTAGTGTAATGTTTTCTGTGAGCATCAGGTACAGTTTATCTGTTCATTTGCTCAATTATTGTTTTTCCTTATATGTATCAGTTGAAAAGCACACTGATTTTTCTTTTCACTAATTTCAGTTTCTACTTCTCAGTGTATATTTTTTATATTTATGCTAATAGATAAAATTAAAGTCTATTTATACAAAAATGTCCTTCCAATGCATTTCTTATTAACTGAGTATTTTATATTGCATATAAACAGGCGTGAAGTTCCTTGAGGTATGAGTTTATACTGTTTTTCTGCTGAAGCATGCATAGGTTGTAGATTTAGATTTCAAAAAGTTATCTATTTTCTTTATGTTTCTCATGTTTGATCAATTATCAGTCTTGGCCATTCTCTTGCTTATAAAGCAGGGATGTGTACCTTTTCCCCTTGACTTTTGAGTATGCACCCCAAAAAGCTGTGAGACAAGCATTAAATTTGATTTAATTACGTTTGATTGACTGATTACATGCCATCAGGTCAGTGTTGACTCTTAGTGACAACATAGACTTTCTGCAAGAGGATCTGATCCCAACTTCCAATGGTGTCCCCATCACCACTGTAGCTGGGTCTACCCACCTTGCTGCTGATTGTCCTCTTCTTCTCTTTCCTTCCACCTTTCCCAGCATTATAGACTTTTCCAGAGAGCTGGGTCATTGCATAATATGTCCAAAATAGGATAATTTGAACCTGTAAATTCATTTATATTTACATGTACATTTAATTAAATTTAAATAGAGTTAATCTGACAATTCTGCAGTCATACCTGTAAGAATATTTGGAAGTCTCTAGGGAACATGTCCAGGATTTTAAGGGGAGTTCTTTAAATACTATGAAATACCAGTGCTTATACATCATGGAAAAATGTGTGTACAAACACTTCAGAATTTCAGTAACTGTTATCTGGCACACAGAAAAATACTGTTCAGAGACAACAAAATATATGGGATATGTGTTATGAATAGGACGGCATTAGGTTAAGTTAGGGAACAGCATTTCATACTGAATGGAGATCAGAGATCCACTCTAGCTCTGACCTATCTTTACCATTTCATTACAGATTTTCCAGGAATAATCAGTGTGGAATTTAAGTTAAAAGCCAGACTTGAAACCCTGGAGTTCCATTCATTGGTCATTCATTGAATTCATTGGTGATTCATTGAATCAGCTGATACCGGAAGTACTGTACCTGTGTCATCTTTTGATTTGTAGCTAGAGTGCAAGACTATCTTGCTTCTGTACAACTTACTTCTTAGAGGTGGAATTAGAACTAGTCCATTTTATCTATTGTCGACAGTTATTTCCTACTTTCCCTGTATGGTGCATTATTTCCTACACAAATGACACTTAACAAGGCAGACATACATTCCTTAGTAATTTCACTGTAACTGAAGAATACTGGCTCATGAAACATTGGCATCCATTTCTTTGAAACTAGAGAAGTCAATTTTATTGACATTTATTAATGAGATACAAACTGCTAGGTAACAGTTGCTTGAAGGATAGCAATGGTTTAACCATACTGTGCCTGAGCAGTTTAATGATAATCTAAAGTTGAGAGCATTCTTTACAAAACACATTTTCATATAACAGACTCATTGATTCAAAGTGTCAAGAACAGCTGTCCTCTGCAATAATCATGGTGTCTTCAAGAGATATCATGTGTGTCATGATGTCATAATCTGCATCCTTCACACGATGACATCATGGAGCAATGTGACATCATTGTGGCATCGACTGGAAGCCGATGGCTATGATCTCTTAAGATTTGAAATTTAAAGAGAAATCATGTTTTTTCTGTGCAACAGAGATTGGCAGCACAGTTTTGAAATGATTTACACTATCATAAGGTAACGTTTGTGAAAATATTGCTCAACTTACATCCTGCTTGCTAAAGATCTGTGAAGAATATCTGCACTAACCAAGAAATAATGTGTTGGATTTCATAGAAACTACAGATCAAATCATAGTAAGAAATCTAGTTTAATGGCATGTTTGGACAGACACTGGTCTGAAGGAATTAAATAATAGGCACGTTTACAAAAACTGCTTTAGCTTATTTTTGTTTTATTTTATTTATTTTATTTATTATTGAATTAACATGCTGCCCATCTCCCCCAGAGGGTGACTCTGGGAGGCTTTAGTTTGGTAAATATTAAATACTGGTGTTACAGGCATCTAATAGTATCTGAACCATAGTAAGAACTGTTCTATGCATATGGTTTCTTTTTTATTATTTATTTAGAGACACATTAATACTGATTTTTTTTCTTTTTCTCAGTTGAAGTAATGAGATTGTATTTCCTTTAGCCAAAATGGAATTAACGAATAGGAAGTAGCCTTCTATCTCAGAATTGAAACCCCTGATAGAGGAGAGAAGGTAAAACAAATTTTGTGTCAGTCAGTTTAATAAGAAGTTGGAATAAGAATTTTGAAAGCAAGCATCATCCTAAAGCCGTGTTTTTCAACCTTGGCGACCTGAAGATGTGTGGACTTCAACTCCCAGAATTCCCCAGCCAGCCTGGCTGGCTGGGGTATTCTGGGAGTTGAAGTCCACACATTTTCAAGTCGTCAAGGTTGAGAAACACTGTCCTAGAGTGAGAAGTTGGGGATAGTAAAGTGTATATATATACTATAATAGTTTAAAATATAATGACTATAAGTGTAATAAAGGCAGCAGCCCTGTGTGTGATGGAATTGTTCTGTTTGACACATTCATTCTGTAAGTGCACTGAATTACCCTGTGGACATAAGAAAAACATGCTTAAACGTAGAAATCATTTTTTTTATGGAGAAGTGTATTAATAATTTGATTCATTCCCTCCACTCAAACATCTGCAATTCCCCAAGTGCGGAAGGACACTAGACATCCTCCATAAACAAAGAAAT